AATTAAATCAACAACAAATTGCTTCTGATTAAAAATGAATTGGTTGTAACGGTCCATAATTAGACTTTATTTAAAGAATGGTTAATAAAGGAAAACCTTACACGATTCGCTCAGTTTTGCTTAGTTTTAACATGTACTCTGTAATCACTTCTGTTTTTGTCGCGACCGTTATGCCCTACTTTTCATCGATTTTCTCGACTTCAGTGTTCCAAGCGCACCTAGTTTTTTGTCAACCAAAGGACGGTATAAAAGCTACACAACAGCAAATTTTTTTACAAGTGACTTCAGTTTTCGTATGATTTATTTAACTCTAAAGTCATACGAATGTCGCGTCCGTAACCCAGGAAATACCCATATGTATTTCATTCAATGGAGTTTCCGAAACAAGTACAATAAAAAATTAATAAATTGTTTGTACCATTCTAGCCTTAAACCGTTTATTTATTTAGGCGAAAAAGCACCGAAATTATTTATTTCTTTCATCGTTTCTCACAGTAAAAATCTTACACGCGCAGGTTTAATTACTTTTAAATTATAGGACTTTAAGTTAAGTGAAAGTGGTAGCTAACTGTATATGGTGTACGGGGCGTATACTTTACATACTCAACTACGGGTATGTGAGCACGAGTTGTTATTTATACTTTTTTTTAGTAAGTTTTCATTTAAATATAATTTCGCGATGGAATCTAGTTCTACGCAAAACTGAAAATAATGCATTGTCTAAGATAAGTGTGCCACCGTTTTCGTCCAAAAACACATTTAAGTAGCGATATGCGATTGGAATGGAATGGAAGTGAAAAAACAATTTTTTTCCAAGCACTCCTACTGTATTGCCCATTGTACTTAAGCCCAAGGTGGAGGTGGGAATTAATTGCACCTCTGCAAACTTTATGAATTTTGGCAGTACCTCGTCCGTTCTCAAAACATCCGACCCAAACCTGTGCCGTATGAGTCTGGCGAAGGCCGGACAGCGACAGAGAAAATGTTATGCACTATTCTCGTCCTCCAAACACGATATACACAGTGGATAGTCGATGATGCCTATGGTGACCATATGTCGTCCCCATGGATTGTGTCCCGTATTCATTCCTTTAAGGGTTCGTAGATCACTCCTTTGTCTGAGAAGGAAATTTGCTGCCACCCTGTCAGGCCTTTTCAGGAAACACTTGGTTATTTTTCAGGTGTCAATGTGCACCAACAGCTCTCATGAGTTTTATTTACGAGATCCTTGATCAGCCAGTTCATTGCCTTGAACACCGTAGTGGCCTGGCACCCACACAAGTTCAAGCTCATTCCATCTTGTAATGGAGTTCAGCCCCAACTTACATTCCTGGACTATATTTGAACACGTGCGATCAGTTCCCAGGGATCTTCATCAATTGCCCAGTTTGTCACTTTCAGTACTGCAAAGAGTTCCGATTGGAAGGCCGTTGCCATTGCACCCAAAGCGCCCGTTGTGCTTAGACACACGCTCCTTTGTAACCTGTTTAACACTGAAATCATGGTTTTGACCATGGTTCTGCACCACCATGCTCCAGCAGAATACGTGACGACTGGCCTGACCAGAGATATTCCAATTTTCTTTTTCGCGACAGCAAAACTTTGCAGAGTGGCACCATTCATCAAACATATTCAGGGTTTTCTGTGTCTTAACACAAACCTTTCTGAGAGATTTACCTGAAGACAGTGCACAAACATCATCGTAAGCTTGGAAGTGAACTAAGTCTTGCATTTCCGTTAGCACTCGTTCCCGTGTTGCTTCAGGACTCTTTGCAATGGCGCGATCACGCTCGTTGTTTGACAGCTGTATTTCTTTCACTTTTGTTGCGTCTCGTAGTTTTTTTTCATGGTAACCGCCATTTTGTTTTCATTACTTATCATTTCTCTTTAATTGAGCAATGTAATTTTGATTGATTTGAGCCCGGCTGAGCGGTTTCTGCACATTATTTCAAGAGTTGTCAAAGTTTAAAAGAGGTTAGTATTTTTTTTAGATGTAAACGGTCTTTAACGTTACATAAATTCAATACTAAAACGTTGCAAAACGATAGTGATTCAGATATCAATAAAAAAAAATTTCTCACCGCTTTCTTTGTTCCCAAATTTTCGACCATATGTATCTTAACACTTGACCATTAGATAAAGAAAATTACTGCGACAACCTTACACCAAATATAGAATTTCTGCTACAGCAAAACCTGGCGCGTATACGCTTCCTTTCTTTAAAATTTCTGTTTTATGTCAAAGGTTTTGCCGTCCGAATGGAAAATGTGCTTTACAATTAAGATATATAGTCATGTAAACAGGTGATAAAGACATACTGGCTTCTAGGGGAGCTATATACGTGTATATTTGTAGTGTGTATGTACTATTGAGCCTTGAAAATACTCTCTTTATTTTGGATAAAACGTTTATAAACTGGATCGAAGTGGTCTGTTGCACTATTGCAATTTTTAATAAAAATCTATATTATTTAATTTACTACTATATTATTTTGATAGTAACTGAATAAATAAGTACCCGACTATAGATATTCATAGCGGTAATTCTTTTATGTTAATCTTTCCGCTATATAGGAGCTAGCCGGGGATTTTATTTAATACATATTTATCCTAAATCATTCTAAATGTAAATTTTCAGCAATTTTGCTGATTACGAATCTGATGTCAGATTCTCAAAATTCAAAATGGCGGATCCAATATGGCGACCAACTTTTTAGAAAATGGTTGGATTTGTTTGAAACTTTTAACCGCCATTTTGAATTTTGAAAATCTGATATCCGATTCGTAATCAGAAACCCCAGAAACCCACTGGAACGAGCTTCAACCCTTGACAATGCTTAAAACGTTCAGTATCAACGTTTTAATTTTAGTAATTTCTTTAAATATGATCACCAATATTGGATCCGCAATTTTGAATAAAAAAAATTGACTTCAGGTTCGTAGTCAGCGAACCAAAAAACTGCCGCCGGGTTTCGGACAAATCCAATAATTAAAAAAAAAATTGATCGTCATTTTGGATTCGCCATATTTAATTTTGAAAAGCTGGCTTCAGATTCCTAATTAGCAACCCCAGAAACCCCCTGGTAACAAGTTCCGAGTCTTAATTTTAATAGTCTCTTTTCGGGAGCAAGTTTTCGGGAACTAGCCCCATTCCAACTGTCCAAGACTGGTATGTAATTAAGGGAATGTTCTCCAATAGTACCAGAGTAATTATATGTAAGACCCAAATTTTTAGCTGCATTTTAACATGTCACGAAAATAAAAAATTGAGAACATTAGCGTTTTTTTAAAAACCCTAGCGCGACCTCTAAAAAACTTTTTTTTCAAAATAAAAAAATACGTGTCTCTTCTTTTATCACAAATAACAATATTTAGATGTAGCGTTTATGAATTTCCAAAAATAATGTTTTTTTTAACCACTCTAATGTATATAGTATGCATATGTTTTACGTATGAACCAAATCGGGCCATAATTAAGCCTTTGGTAAATAATATGTATATACATATAAATAAGTCCTTGGTTCTGCGAAAACTTAGTTCTGCAAAAAAATTGATCACGCGAAAATTATTATTTAATTTGCCCAGTTGAAATGTGATATTAAGAAGCACTAATGAATCAAGTCCATTCTGTAGTTTTTGGTCCAAGGGGCGTTAATATTTAACAGCTGGATAAAATATGATTATCTAACTTTGATTTAAACCAGCTGACTCGAACCTTTAAACTGAAAGGCGCCGAAAAGCTGGCCGGCCCTTAGAGTAGATGCTGCGCTCTTTTGAATGCAATTAGTTTTTACTCAAATACACTTCAAATAAAAGATAAAAATTAGCAATTTTGGGTTATGAGGTATTACATATAGGACCACCTCTACAAAACCCATCGAAATTATTTACACTAATTTTAGTACCTTTTCCAAACTTGGGCTTATTTGTACCCTCTTTCTACTACTTTTAAAATGCATGCCACAATTAAGACAGCCCACCATTTGGTGAGTTCGTACTGACATCACCTTCTCTTATTCCACCATGCTTGTGAACAATGCCAGTTCTCCCTTAGTAAATTGTCGTTGTTTTTCCACAAAATTTTTCATTTAAAAAACGGCATCAAGCTCAATTAAATTGTTAAATATGTATATAGATTGATTCCTTCTTATTTATATGGAGTTTTTTTTTTGCTTTAAAATGTTGTACATATTTAAATATTTGTGAATCACCCGATGAAAATGGATATAAGTTTTATCCCTCTCCATTCAAATTAAAAAAAATGGACTTAGCAACTTTGCATTCTAAGCCAGTGAAATGCTGTTTTTTGTATTATTATACAGCTGACAACGGTTTTGGTTACACCATATATAATCAGGCTAGAACTTTCATGATAACTCCTTTGTAAAGTCACAATAAACCAGCTTAAAATCTGGCGGAACTCCAGGCGTGGCTTTGGCACCTCTAGAATTTTATTAGTCAAAAAAAAAAAATCAATTACACTATTTTAATCAGTCTGATTCTTTAGGATATCAGAGTTGATATTCCCCCGAAACCGCAAAAAAATCGCCAGACTTGTAGCAAGGTGGGAAGGGGGGGATAGATGGGACTAAAGTGGCGAAATTCTCGACAAGCTATTTCTTCTAACTTTAGTAAATAGTCTTTTTTTACTTTGATTCTTTTCCAAAAAAAAATAAATACTACGATGTGTATTAGTAAACCAAATAATACATATATATATCAGTTAGTTAGGTAGTTTTGCCCAAGGTAGGCTTCACTACAGTAAACCAGTGAAATTTCTAACTATAAAATTATACAGTAATTGACACGGAGATAGTAGCATCGTACAGCATTGTGACGTTTGCGAAAAGTGAAATCCAATTAAAAAAGATTTAAAACAAAAAGGAGTAACAAATGCAAATGAACAAAGAACGAACTCGTAAGCATCCCTTGACCTGCCTCATAAAAGAGAATAAACAGAGCTGAGAGGTAGGACACCACGCGCAGGACTGGCACGAAGTGTTTGCAAATTTCATAGATATTGATAATGTGAGAGGCAGTTGGATAGCTGGCAGCGGGACTATGGTATGAGTTGGAAGCAAAAATCAGTTTCTTTAACCACACAATCATACCAACAGTAAAAAAGCCGCTTCTTAAAGTAGCTAAACTGGACGCAGTACATCTACCTGGAAGTGTAGAAATGTGGAATTTGTGCGAGTTTTCCATAGTACAAAATGTGTGTTTAAACCATAATAGTTTTATTTTTATCAGCTTGTACTCAGACATACATACGTACTTTTAAATGATGAACGTACATATGTACATACCTATGCATGCTTTTAAAGCCGAGAATTCCAATCATTTATCGATTTTTCAAAACAAAAATAAATTGACGAAAATTACTACTTTGGTGCCTCTAAATAATTAATTATAATTTAAGAAGCTGATTATGATATGATTATTTAACCAACCTTAAACCGTACACTAGCTGCAGGCGGGCCAGCTACTTCACTCAATGCACCACACAAACCCTCGAATGTGACGTCGAGCGTTGAGCCAGCGTAGCAGCAAACCACCATTGTGTGCGTGATGTAAGTTGCCAGAAATTTAAGCAAATTCTAGTATGTACTTCCTTTTTCGTATATTTTTGTATTTTATAACAAAGTTCAGCTTTTAGGCTTATTTCCACTGTAGCATTGGAAAATAGTTTTTTTTTTGTTGAGAATAATATTTTGTTGCACTTCTCCTCTAAAAATTTGTTTTTTTTGCTTTCACTATCGCCCTTTGCATAAATNCTTTCTCCTTTTTCTTCCAACTGCAAACTGAAACAAATTTTTTTTTTCAACTGTTTTTTTTTTTTGTTTTATGTTTATGTTGCTTGTTCGCTGTAAGCCTTAGCCTCTTGCTTTTACTATTGATGCGAGCTGCAGCAGCGGCAATGCAAAATAAGTGAAGCGTCCACCTGCACTACAAATCACGCGAGTAGTAAGATTGCACTTTTTCGCGAAGGGAAAATATGCCCATCCACAAAGAAAGCAGTGTTGCATCAACAATGCCACCACGAGCCTGCAAATCGATATCCACGGCGAAATCGTCAGGTTATATGGTCGGTGGAGTATTTTAAAATTGCACTAATGTGACCCTTTTTCGGCTGTGTTACAAAAATATATGTCTACATACATATGTAGGTATATGCATATATTATTTTGTGCCCAGCAGAGATCTTTAACGTGACCGCCGTTACTTTACTTCAGCGTGTCCCATTGTCAGTGCCATACTCAATACAAACCACCGTTGCATTTATCGCGACGTAGAGCGTCCTTTTCTGCTCTTCATTCCATTTTTTTTTTTTGTTTTGCGCTATCTGTTGTTATCCTTTTCATAGGGGCCCCGTTTTCGCGAAACGGAAACGAAAAGGTGGAACTCGCGAAGTGGGAAAAAAATTATGCACAAATATAAACACACGACTGACTTGTTTAGTCAGACGCCGCAGCAACTAACGATGTGCGGCGTACGTATGGAACTGGAAGCTTGGGGCATCGGAAAATTGGTTTGCCGTTTTCAATTGGCGATAATGCATAAAATCGTAGTAGGACAAACACCCCCCAACAAGGTGCTCAACAAGCCGAGCAAAAAGAGGCAGAGAAAGTGAGAAAGAGAGTGAGAGAGAAAAAACGAAAAGAGAAAATTGTATATAGTCGAGTGCTAAAGTTAAGTTCGTACAAGTTGAAGTTATTCGCTGTAACCATATGTTGAGCAAGGTTGCCACTGTTGGTTGTTTTCATGTTGGTTTTTTATTATTTTTTCTATTTTTTTGGTTGTTTGGTAGTGTTTTCTCTGGTTTAGTTGCTTTTTTTAATTAGAAATTAGCAAATTTTTTCTTTACAAAAAGTTTTATTGCATACTGAATGCCAAAAATGAATAAATGAATTTTTCAAATTCCTATTTTTAATTTAACATGTTTTATATCTTAATATGTAAATAAAAATCCCGTGTCACGTGTTCGTTTACGCTAATCTCCGAAACCGCTTAACCGATTTCAATGAAATTTTGGTACCGAGTACCAAGCTTCGGAGTGAAGACCCATAATATCTACAATGCGTGTAACCTGCCTATGTATCGGTGTGAACCAAGACAATGTCTGCCAACGTCTCTTGGTAGCAGCTATAACTTCTACCAAAGAGCAAATTAATGTTGTTTTTCCCATGGCGGTATAATTCCGCCATGGTTTTTCCAAAAAAATTTCATACAATTATTATTTTTTGATTATTGTTTTAATTTTTTCTTTTTGTAATAGATAAGATAAGATAAAATTTATAAATTTTTTTTTAAATTTAGTTGTTTTTCCTTCAGATTTTGGTTGGTTATTTTTTAATAAGTGGCAACCGTGGTGTTGAGTATTGTGTGTTGTCTCTCTGGCCAATGGTGGGAAATTTACAGTTTTATAAATGCATTTCGCTACATACAACAATGCTCGTATATTCATTTGGGTTTGCATATGTTTGTATATATTTATGTATGGTACCCCAAAATGACTAAATGATAAACATATTACATATGTACATTCATATGCATTTCAATTCGCAATAAATTCTTTGCAATTGTTCCGATTTGAATATCTTAAAAACCAGTGAAGTTGAGCCTTCAACGTCATAGATCTTTTCATTTCAATTGCCTTTAAAATATACGTAAACTAAACTTTCTACCCAGAGACTGGGCACTTTTATGTACATATGTATGTATGTATAACCACTGCGGCTGTGGACTTGAGTTCGATCCCTAAGATAAAAAAAAAAACAGAAAAATTTGTTTTTCAAACAACGGTCGCTACTCGGCAGGCAATTGCAATACTACGAGTGTATTTTTGCCTTTAAAAGGATTATCATAAAATCCTTTGCCGTTGTTAGAGGGGTAGGTCCCTCCATTTGTGTTAGAACATAAGGGTGCAGACCAAAAATTGGAGCAGAAGTCATCTAAAACCGTCCAGCCGTTTATGAGTGAAGAGAGATATCACATAGTGCAGGCTTTTAATTTATTAAACTTTCAAATCACCCTATACCGTTGAAATAGTTCTAAATTAAAAAAACAAAAAACAATAAAAAATAATGGCCTTATTCATAAAAAATAAAAAAGTCTTAAAAAAGGTTTATAAATTGAAAAATGTATGAAAACGTCAATTTATAAAGCTCTTTAAACCTACTTTATTTTTTATGAATAAGGCCATACAACTTTATCGCACATCTAGAGACTAAAGCTGATGCCACATAAAACTTTTGCTTCGCTTTACGTGACAGATTCGCTTTGACAGATAAGATGAATTGTATGAAAATGCACAAAGCACGCCACATAGATCGTTGACGCTGCAGCGCGAAGCGAAAAGATGGCCAACTCCCATCTTTTTGCGCGCTTTGACAATCAACCGGTTTAATATTTATTTTATTTCGTCCAAATTTGAGTACTTAATATATTGCTGACATTTTTAAAGCAAAATATATAAAATCCACAGCAACTTTAACGAGTAAAAAAGCAGTACAAAATTGTTTTCTTTGCGTTCATTGTGGCATACCTTTTGCGTCTGGCGCTTCGCTGGCAAAGTTATAAATGTCACGCAAAACTACAAAGTTTTATCTGGCATCAGCTTGAAACCTACTTTATTTTTTATGAATAAGGCCATAAAACTTTATCGCACATCTAGAGACTAAGGTCTTTAATTTGACCTGTCATTTTTGAAATTTGAAAGAACGTTGCAAATCGAATGACTATCACAAAAATGCCTTCTCGTATAATATATGTACTTAGTTAGATCTACTTTTCGAGGCTTTGCGAAAAGTTGGCCAGCCTAATCAAAGATACTTTAAAAATAAAGCTTTGATAAATCTCTTTCGGTGGACATCCATATCTTAATATTTCATAAAACTTGTGTATAAGTTAACTAACTTCGACTTTTCAAACAGGTGGCAACCCTCTTCAAAATATTATTAAACTACTACCTTCTGAAACTCCCTTTGTTTGGCACCCATATGGTGATACATACTCCTTTTACCTAATTCTCTTAATTCAAATTTAATTTGATTTTTTAAACAGATTTGACACCTTGGTGCGCATATGATGGCATTGATTATTAAATAATTCGAATTTAATTGTTCAACATGTGGCAAATCTTTTCGAAAAAATAAAACCAGTTTGTACATCTATAGGCCAAGCGCTTTATTTGACACCCCATTTTTGAAAATCGAGCGAATTGTGAAGATCTTATGTCCTGGAAAAAAATCCCTTCGCGTATTATATATGAACATATAGATTATGTATCCTGCAGCAAAATTTAGAGACAGTCTGGCAGAGAACTAGTTCCGCCCTACAAATTTCAGAACTGTCTCTGAACTACTGCAAAAGGGATGCAGAGCTGGATGGTTGCACTGTCATCAATGTCACTCATCCTGGTCATGTCAAATCTGACAAAAGATGCACAAATATCCCATACTATAGTATTTTTACGATTTTCTTAGACCCGTAATCTAATAACAAACTGTTCTTTTATTTAATATGTAATTCTCTACATAGTTTATGGGACAACTGCTAAAATATTTCCAAAAAAGTCGTTATTGGTAACATTAATGTCATTTTTGTACATATATACGTACGTATAAAATTGAATGCAAAATATAACCATAAAATTTAGTTAGATTACATTTAACAGCAAAAGTCTGCGTACACCATTTCTTTTTTAAATATTCACAGTATATTGAGAGTTAAAATTTGTTTGTTACTATTTTATAAAGAAAATGATCATGCTTAAAATAACATCATATAAACCGTGTTTTAAAACTTTATACAAAACAACGATTTTTTTTTTTCATCAAAATTTTTGACCTTTTAATCAGATTTAAAAAAATAAACAAAAGTTCTAAACAATCTCACTTTGAAATGGGGGAAATGGGGGTGCTATTGATATGAACTATACTGTACATAGGTAAAAATACATATATATATCAGTGAGCACCCGAAATGTGTAGTTATGCAGTGATTTTTTTTTAATTTCCGATGTTTTTCATTTAAAATATTTTTCGTTAAGTTTTTATTGAAGTAATATGTCTCATATTCCGTATAAATCATTTAAACTCAAATTCCTAACTTTGCTGCAAACTTGATAGCACTCTAGAAACCGTCTTCAAATTTCAAACTTTTTAATCGGAGATTTTTTATAAATATTTCGAGAATTCTGTTTTGTAGCCCTTCAAATTTTAGTGTGGTTAAGTGTAGTCTCGCATCTTAAACGAAAATATTTAAATAGGAGAATACATTCAAGCGCGTGCGTAAAAAGAGTTATAAAAAATTAGCGCGATTAATTATACCTAAGTTAAATAAAGTATAACATATATAAATTATTTTTAAAAATAACGGTTTCAGAAAATGAAGCAATAACTGACACTTTATGTTCCTAATTTTAAAGCACAGTTTTCCTTCAAAAGGTAAACTAGTGCAAATCAAATACTTTAATCATAAAATGAAGTACATAAGTATTTATTATTTACAAAATTTTAAGCGTGATTAATTAAAGAGAAGGCTCTATACTATACTTCTTAGAACCAGCTCAAAACTAACCACATTTTTTTTGGCTCGGAGTTGACCCTTTTTGAACTATCTAGGAACTGTTGTTCTATAAACTGTCTCAGAGCCACCTAAGCCAGAGTCAGCTCAGAACAAGTTCAAAAGTTCTGCAGAGGGCGACAATTGTCACTTCGTAGGACATCGCCATGTTAAAAAAGACGGTTGAAAGCACTGAGTTGGGATAGATGAAGAACCAGTACCGTCCCTTTTCAAGCTAGCTCAGCGCAGGTTCTGAACCAGTTTGATTTGCTGCAGGGTATTACCCGGGTGCCCGAGTAATTCGGGTAATGCCCGGGTACCCGATTAACTGGGGCTTTTATTACCCGGGTAGCCGGGCATTACCTGATTTGCCCGGGTACNCCCCCCCCCTAACTTTAAAATTTTCCTTATATATATATAAAATAGTACCCTGAAATGCCAGCTTAATAGGGTCGAGCCCCCCCTTAAATTTCATTCTGGCTACGCCGATGAACTCATACAAGTTATACTTTTTCATACAAGTATTAAATCTTCCAACTCATATAAGTACATTAGTTTTTCATACAAGTAATTGTTAATTAATTCACATAAGTTGAAAATTTTCATACACTGAGGAAAAAAAATTTTAGAATAAAAAAAAAACGTGCTAAATTTAAAAAAATACGAATATGAAAGAGCACCAACCCAACTCGTTTAAAATATGAGTATGTACGTTATTAAATATGTGGTTGCGAAGTGCACAGATGCCTTTTCGTTATACGAAATTAAAATTAAGAAGAAAAAAAATTAATTTTATGTCCCGTCTGATGGTAATTGAACCCGGACGCTCTTGGTAGCAACCAATTGTA